GACAGGATTATTGCAAGGCACAGACCTGGGGAAGACTACATAAAAAGAGAAAAAAAAAAAAAAAAAGAAGGTTCTGCTGCACTGAAGGTTCCCAAGAGCATAGTGGCCTCCATAATTCTCAGTTGTAAGAAGTTTGGCACAACCAGGACTCTTCCAAGAGCTGGTCACCAGGTCATACTGAGAAAAATCAGGGGAGAAGAAACTTACTCAAAGAGGCGACCAAGAACCTGATGGTCACTCTGACTAAGTTCCAGCGATCCTGTGAGGAGATCAGAAAAAGTTCCAGAACGATAACCATATGGTAAAGTGGATAGACCGAAGCCTCTCCAAAGCCAAAACACATGAAAGCCACTTGGCATTTGCCTCAATTCAAATGTCTGGAGGAAAGCAGGCACTGCTCATTACCTGCCCAATACCATCCCAACAGTGAAGCATGGTGGTGGCAGCATTATGCTGTGGGATGTTTTTCTGCAGCAGGGACTGGGAGACTAGTCAGGGTTGAGGGAAAGCTAAATCGAGCAAAGTACAGAGATATTCTCAATGAAAATCTGTTCCACAGAGCTCAGGACCTCAGACTGGGCCAAATCGTTCTAACATGACAACGATCCTAAGTACACAGCCGGGACAAATCTGAATGTCCTACAGTGGCCCAGCCAGAGCCCCGACTTGAACATCTCTAAAGAGAACTGAAAATGGCTGTCCGATGGTCCCCATCCTACCTGATAATACTTAAGAGGATTTGCAAAGATAAATAGCAGAAAATCCCCAAATCCAGGTCTTGCATCATACCCAAAAAGACTCAAGGCTGTAATCACTGCCAAAAAATGATTCATCAAAGTACTGAGTAAAGGGTCTTAATACTTAAACCCACAACAGTAAAATCAGTCTTTATATGCAGTAAAGCATGATTGATATACTTACTGTGGAACCGAAGGGGTTAATCCTCTGCATTGTGTAAAAATGCTGTTTTATCCTGTCTTTACTGATCCTCCCCTTCTTCCAGTGCCCCTTCTTATCTCCTGATGAGACATATCGTGTGGAGTCACTCTGCACATGCTCAGTTTTGTTTGTATTGCTAGACAGGTTTTTTTTTTTTTTTTTTTTTTTTTGGGGAGAGTGCACGTATTCAGCACAGGGCTAATCAGCACTGTCCAGAGGTCAGGGGTTCTGCATCCTCTTAGAGCAGAAAGAAATCACCTTCTACAAGTTTTAACCAGTGCTCTGCTGAACACTGATAGAAGTCACAAGACTGCCCTAACTGCTGACGAGAAAAGGTATTTAGTTTATATTTACTAAAATAATTTAATTTCCATGTTGTGTACTGTGGGAGTAAAGCATGCTTGATATACTTACTGTGGAACTGAAGGGGTTAATCCTCTGCATTGTGTAAAAATGCTGTTTGATCCTGTCTTCGCTGATCCTCCTTCCAGTGCCCCCTCTTATCTCCTGAGGAGACATATCGTGTGGAGTCACTTTGCACATGCTCAGTTTGGTTTGTGTTGCTAGAGAGTTTAGTTTTTTTTGGGGAGAGTGCATGTGTTCAGCACAGGGCTAATCAGCACTGTCCAGAGGTCAGGGGTTCTGCATCCTCCTAGAGCAGAAAGAAAACACCTTCTACAAGTTTTAACCAGTGCTCTGCTGAACACTGATAGAAGTCACAAGACTGCCCTAACTGCTGATAAGAAAAAGGTATTTAGTTTATATTTACTAAAATAATTGCATTTCCATGTTCTGTGTACTGTGGGAGATCAGATATAGTGAATGCAGGGTCCTGGGTTTAGTAACACTGTAGGTACATGTGATATTTCAGTTTTGTCTTTTTAATAAAATCACCGACATTTCTAAAATTCTGTTTTAACTTTGTCATTATGGGGTACGGAGTGTAGATTAATGATAGGAAAAAAAAAAAAAGAATTTAAACAACTGTAGTTTCAGGCTGCAACATACATTATTTTGCTTGCCCTGTGCCCAGCTTTACATGAAGTGACAAAGAAAAACAGACAATTAACAGTGCACAGCAACAGTTTATTCAATTCTTCATAAGTTATACAGTGAAGAGTTACAGAGGTAATTGCACAGATCTCAGAACACTTTACATTGCAGATACTGACTGGTACCTGCTCACCAGTGCATTTCACACAACAAACATCCACTAAAATCACAGGCTTAGAGGCCACTGTGGAACTACTAATCCCAGCATGTCCAGCTAATTCAGGCTGTTTTTAAAAAGCAGCTGCTAACTCCCAGGGTTGCCTAACACGCATTAAACTAAAAACACAAATAAATAGATTTCTTCACTGTATACTATATATACACATTTGAGAGAATTTATACATCAAATTGCTGCCCTCTAATGGGCATTGTGGGGATTACAAAAGGATTCACATGGACAGAGGAGTAGGCACAGACAGCCACATAGGTGGTTAGAATTTATGGTTTAGACAGGACACAATTCAGGTGGCCATACTTGGTAATTATTATTATTATTTTTTTTTTTTGTTCAGTCAGCGGATCAGGATTCCTTCATCCACACAAATAAGGTGGATGGAGGTATCCACCCCTTGCTGAAATATTGTATTCTGAAAGCATCACCCACCACGGTCAGAATACACTGATCAGTGGCGCAGCTGCTAATCGGTGAAAAGGTTTTTCAAAATGTTCCTTCGACAGACATTGACTGAATAATCAACTTCTGTCGAACAGGGGAACACGCACTGATCAAAATTCGGCCAGTCCCTGCTGGAATATTAATCTGTGTGACTAGCTGCAGTTGGCTGTTGTCACCAGTTTCGTCTCTCAGAGGCGCTGGCAGCAGGATATCTGAACCTACACTCCCAACTCTGCCCCCTACCATGGCCCACTGAGGATGGTCTCAGACTTCCAGTTAGATATATAATTTAGATAGAAAGCACCAGAAAGAGTCCTTAAAGAAGACCAACAGTTAAAGTGGCATCCCTCTTATCACCACAGTCATGTTACATGAACCTCATAAAAAAAGAAATCAAGTAGTCTTTTTTTTTTTTTTTTTTGTAAAGAAAATAATGCTCTTGCCTCTCCCGTTAGCTGGGCACATGACCCAATAGGCATTAGTCACATGGTCTCTAGCCAACCTCCTGAAATATCGGCTCTTAGGCATACCTGGTGCATCAGACACTGATCCTCCCTTGATTTTGTGGGTGAAACGAACTACAAATATGATTCAAGCAAGCAGGCAACGCCAGGAATTCCATACTAGAGGAGTCCTTGTGAGATGGAATATGGCAGCGGGCAGTGCCCACTTATCGCAATATCTGTTTTTAGAGGACTGATGGATAATAGCATGGTTTTCATTATTCATTTACAGAGTGGTACTGGTTACAGAGTGGCTAACTGGCATGAGAATCTGTGTGATGCTTAAATTGTGCTTGCATAAGAATATTTAGTCCTAAAATATAAGTGTTCAAATACTTATTGAAGACTTAATTAGCGTCATTTACTTTGCCTGCATCTTCTCACCTTGAGTCAGACTACATGAAGTCTTATTTGCTGTACTGCTGTCTCCCAGGTAAAGTGTGCGAAATCAAGCCATTTTTAATACACCTAAACCGCGATGTATTAAAAACTTTTTTTTTTCAATAAAAACACTTTTACTTTTTTCAGCCTTGTTATATTTCATCCTAGGCTCACACTAGTGCTGCTGCATAATCATGCTTTTGGCAGTTTTTTTTGTAGGAGGAGACTGGTTGCCAAGCACAAAACCATGCCAAAAACACCAAAATGCATTTTTCATGTGCTTACATTAAAGTCTATGGGGCCACAAACGCACTATGCTGCACCAAAAAAAGCACCTGTACCTTTTGAAAATTGCACAACATGTTGCATTGAAGTGAATGGGAACCATTGAAAATAATGTGATTGCCTTGCCGTGTGTTGCAGCATGACAGAAGACGCAGGAAATTGCACTAGTGTGAAGGAGGCCTCAGTGTCACCTATTTTAAAAAATTTAGGGGAAAAAAATCATAAAAAAGTAAAAATATTCAACATGTTTAGCTGCTGCATTTTTCTTTTCCATATTTTTTTTTGCTTGCAATGTGCCTCTAAACCTGCTAGAAAATGTGACTAGTCCGTTCCCTAGCACAACCCCTTCTCACCTTGCACGCCCTAGCCCTTTCTTCTTCTGGAAGTGTCTAATTATTCAGTTCCTCTGCCCAACCCCTCGCCTCCCTCCATTACCGCAGCAAGGCGGAATAATACAGAGTGACAGCTTGGAGTCTGCTAGGGCTGTTGACTTCACAACCAAGATGGTGGTGCCCAGCATCAGAGCTTTTGGACACAAGGGAGGCTTTTACAGGTAAATAACATGCATGAAATATATTAAACGCTCATACAATCTTGAGGAAACTTTTTTTTTTTTTTTTTTACAATAAACGATTTGGTGACAGGATCGTTCTAAAGTAATTAAGAGAACACATTTCATAATGCAAGTATAATTGCATTACATTAGCCATCACACTTGCAATATTTTAGACCTGATTATTCAGACTCGCATGAGCCCAGTCATGACTAGTCCTCTTTAATACCATTTTTATTTTTTTGAGAGATTGCTCTTTTCTGATCAGCCACCTTGCTAGCTTATGATTTATAATTAAAATGCAATGTACAAATATGCTAACTAGTATGGACCCTACTAGTGAAGTTACAGTAGTGAACTGACAAGCTGGATGCTAGTTTAGGCATTAGGATGGACTTCATTCACTGAGACCAAAGAAACATTTTTACAGAAGCACTACCTACTAATGTCAAGAAAATAAGATCTATTCACATTTCCTCATTAACTTATTGCCTGATGAGCTTTTTCAATTTACATCCCATCAGCCTTTGCAGAAGAGAACGAACACACACACACATGAAAAGTCTGGAATGTAGATACAGTGGGGCTGTAGAGATGGATGATAATCATGAGACATTAAGGTATGGCCAGATCATTAGATGGGCTGGTGGCCTGTGTAGGAGCAGGAGGGTCACTCAGTCTGGGGTACAGAGATAGTAGGTCCTTTAGGATCGTCAAAGCGATCCATGGTTTTCAGACTCATAACCATGTGCAGCCCATAGGTCAGGATGAAGACAAACAGCAGCGTGGTGACGAGCCCCATCCAGATGCCAGGGGAGAAGAAGCCGGCACAGTCGCTGGCGTAGGAAAACTTTAAGCCGCTGATGCTGAAACCCTGGAGCTGGTATAATAAGACAAGAAAAGTCAAGATACTCCCTTCTGTCAAACTGAGATACTGCAGATAACGATCATAATTGATAATCTTGGGAGTTATACATACTGGCAAGTTGTTTATTCATGGCAATGTTTGTTACGAAGAAGGTAAGTTTCTATATAGGGCTTCATTGACATGAGCACATGGGGCCATATGTATTCATGCAGAGAGTTATGTGCATCAGCTCAGGAGGCACAGGTGCTGCATGCAGCCAGCATGGTAAAGTCAACAACAGGCCGAACAGATCTTTATTGATCTTCATGCACATCCCTGTGTGTACATCCATGCAGGACTGAGGCACAACTCTAAATACAGTTTGTCTGTGTTCAGAGTCATGCATCATTCTCGCAAAGATGTACACACAGAAATGTGAATGAAAGCCCATGTAAGTGTCAACCTGTCATTGAGTTTTACCAGCCGACATCATGGACCACCAGTGCCTCCAGGGTAGATAAACACAGCCCTCTGCATATACAGGTTTGTGCACCCGTGTGAACGATCCCTAAAAAAAAAAAAAAAAAAAAAAAAAAACAAAACAAAAAAAAAAAAAACAACTTGCTCAGGCACCTGAAAATACTAGCTTGGCTTACCTGGAATTCAGTGATGTGGAGATTCCACTTTGCTCCAGGAGATTCTTGGCTGCTGTTATTGATCAGGATTGGACCATATGAAGAAAAAACTGCTGACGTACTGACAGTGGAAGGAATAGTTGCTGGGAGTGCTCACTTGGGGAGCAAGGAATATGGCATTGTGAGTTCCGTTAAATACCTCAATGCGGTTTAAACTGGCCCAATAGCGTGCTGACACACTGTACCGAACGTTGCTCATATGGAACCTGTGGCAAAGTTGTGGGGAAAGAGGAAGAGTAAATTTTCAACCAGAAGACAGAAGTCATTCATTATCCATATTTATTATTTATTTATTACAGGTACTTATATAGCACCGTCAATTTACGCAGTGCTTTATATATTATATATATATATATATATATATATATATATAAATAAACACAAACACACACATATATATTTTATATACACACGGCTTTTAAAATTTTAAGCCCTGAGCTACTAGCCAGGCCCTAGAGTTACTCGCCACCAACAAATACACACAGAGACACCTGTACACACACACACACACACACACACACACACACACACTCACACACATATATATACATACATACATACACACACATACAGACACATTTATACACAGGCATGTACAGACACGCATACACACAGATACATGTACATACACAGAAATGCACAGACACATGTACATACACAGACACGTACACACACACACAGACATATGTACAATTGTACTTGCATACACAGACAACACACACCACACCCCCCCCATAAAAAAGTTGCAGTACTTTGTTGTTCACTCACAGAGCGAGGTACTGCACTCTAGGGGGAGGCAGAGAGCACAGCACACACTCCTTGCTTTGCTCTCACTGCGCTCAGCTATTGAGCAGTCTGACGGCTCCCAGTGCGAGTGACAGATCCGGCCTGAGCTCCGAGCTCAGCAAGACGGCCCTGGGGGACACACTCGCCCCCACCATAATTTCCTCTCGCCATTGGTGAGCAGGTGAGTGGAAATTTCAAGCCTTGTATATATATTTATTTACTTTGTTTTTTGGTTGTATAATGGATTGTGCCATTGTTTCATGTAGCGCAGCATTTTTTCACTTCACATTATGATTGTATAATTCGCCCCACTGAGACATGGGTTGTGTGCACTAGCGGCTACAGCATTTAATTGCAATTTTTGTTTTATTTCACCATAGTTAGCGCTTGAGGTATTAAATTTATTTTATGAATAAGACATAGATTGAACTCCTGAGGAAGTCACGTGATGTGATCTAACACAGAGTGGGCCAATGACGTCAAGCTGCTAAACAGAAAGTTAAAGAGCCGCCATCTTGGAAATACCTGAACACATTGAAAATACATTATAACAAGGTTTTTTTACTGTGGTGTCCCAGCAGGACACTCACTTATAAATGTGAGTGCACTTTGTTTTTTTTAATAAATCATGCTCTATTTATATACTACACTATGGCAAGTGTTTGTTTACGTATGCAGAGGATTTGTGGGATAAAGAGGAGAAGGGACAGTTTGCAGTGTACCTACCCGGGTTAAAAATGAAAGGCAGTATTTGACCTATGCAATTTGGGTCATAAAAGGAGGTGAGAGTACATATGTATGTCTATGGTGGAGGAGCACCTATAGGAATATATGTGGATATAAGCAACAAAGAGCACCTGTTTAGGAACAAATTATAAACGCACGGATCAAGCACACATTATGGACTTTTAATTAGTATTCAGTGTATTCACCGTTTTTGCATAATCACATGGTTTGGATGCTTTAATTCATATATGAGGTTATAGAGATATATGCGCGGCACTATTTTATGATATAGATTATAGGCCACCATGAGAAGTAACTTTGCAGTGCACAGTGCAGCACAGATAGCGGTCCCTGCTCTAAATAGTGGCCTAAGATTTTCTTATAACTTCAATCGTCTAAATAGATTTTCTGAATATTTTTGACAAGCCGCATTCACTGACAGTAACCTCTGCTCATGGATTCCCCCCCCCCCCCCACTGTGGGCTCAGTTCACTAAAGGATATCGCATGCAATATTTGGATCATGTATCTAAATATTGTATGCGATATGGAAAAGCTCAATTTACTGTAGGTTTATGCAGGATTTACTGGCACAAATGTGAAATGTTTGGTATATACTGTATAAACATTTCTAAGGTTCCGCTGGTAACGATTTCACTTCCAGCTGCAGCCAGGTCTGGTCTGGAAACAAGTTCTATACTCCAAAATAAAAAATCTAAAATCTATTTAGGAAATGCTTTCATGCAAATATGGAATAGTAAACAGGGAAAATATAAAAAACATCCATTAAATATTAAATTCTAGATAAATATCACAAAAACAGCACACAATGTGTGCACACTAAAAAACACCTTAACCAAGAATTTTGGTTGATTACAGTAATCCTGCCAATACTTACATAATTTTCAATCCATTTGGATAATTGAGGACTAGCCTGCAACAGACAAAATAAAGGATATATTATTTGTATTTTTATGAGGGAGAGAGAGAGAGAGAGAGCGAGAGAGAGAGCGCAACAGAAAAAGAGCGAGAGCACAAATGAAAAAGTGCACACGAGGAAAAAAGCAAGACAGAGAAGAGCGAAAAAAAGAAACTGAAATAGTGAGAAAAACTAGAAGAAGAATGATCTAGAGAGAACAAACAAGTACTGGAGCCAGTGGGTCGACATAACAGTGAGGAAATTAGCATTTTAATAACATTCAATTACAATACGATTTGTGTCGCAATTGTATATGCTATATATTCTTTTATTTGCCATTTTTTCCCCACAAAGGCTGAGTTACCCTTTAACTTCAGGCAGTATTTATTGCATGGTAAAAAAAATCTACAATATCTGCATGCATGGCAATAAATTTTAGTTTATTCATCATCCACCAACTGACTCTAGGGAAGGATTTTCTACAGCTTTTTATGACTAACTACTTGACGACCGCCCCATGTATATATAGCGCAGAGCAGCAGCTGTTCTGCACTGATCCAGGTACATGAGCCGGCATTTCCGGGTAGGGGGTGCGCATGCGCCATCCGCCCCATCAGTGCTGACATTCACGACAGCACACAAAGTGTTCGTGTCAGATTGCCACATTATCACAGTCCCACTATAAGCCACTGATCAACGTCATTACCAGTATAAAAAAAAATTCCAGTATATATTCCATATTTGTAGAAGCTCTAACTTTCACGCAAACAAATATACACTTATTGGGATTTTTTTTTTTTTTTTACCAAAGACGTAGCAGAATACATTTTGGCCAAAATGAAAAAAATAAATTAGATTTTTTCCAAAAAGTTTATTGGATGTGTTTTATAGCAGAACATAAGAATTGTTTTTTTCCCCAAAAATGTTTGGACTTTTTTCATTTATATAATAAGTGAAAAACCCAGTGGTGATCAAATACCACCAAAAGAAAGCTCTATTTTTGTGAAAAAATTACAAAATTTCATTTGGATACAGCGCTGCATAACCATGCAATTGTCACTTAAAGTAGCACAGTGCCGAACAGCAAAAAATGGCCTGGTCATGAAGGAGGTAAAAAAAAAGTGCGTCTGTTCTAATTATGGCTGAAACAACTCATCAACATAGTCGATTATAATAAATAGTGGTGCACTGAAATAAAAATTCTGGTGCCGAAACCGAACATTCAGGATGCACTTGGCCGAAAACCGAAATGGACAGTTTTTTTTTTAAATTAATATATTTTTCAAATGCTATTTTTTTTTTCTTGGAAAAAATACACTTGAACGATAAACACACACACACCTTTTTTTTTTTATTAACCTTAAAAAAAAATTTTAAAATATGATAGATGATGTTACGCCGAGTACATAGATACCCAACATGTCATGCTTTAAAATTACGCACGCTCGTGGAATGGCGTCAAACTACGGTACTTAATCTCCATGGGTGATGCTTTAAAAATTTCTACAGGTTACCAGTGTAAAGTTAGAGAGGAGGTCTAGTGCTAGAATCATTGCTCTTTCCCTGACGTTTGTGGCAATACCTCACGTGTGGTTTGAACACCGTTTACATGTGGCGTGGCCTACATATGTGTTTCACCACTACGCGCAAGCATGAGGAGATGGGGGTATGTTAAACTTTAAGAAAATCTAATTATTAATATTTTTTTTTTACACTGTCCTTTTAAAAAAATGTTTTTAATCACTTTTATTCCTATCACAAGGAATGCATACATCCCTTACGATAGAAATAGTGACAGGTGCTCTTTATAGAGAGATGTGGGGTCAATAAGACCCCACATCTCTCCTCTACAATGTAAAGCATTAGATTAAAAAAAAAAGCACTGATCTAGTGCTTTACAAAAAAAAAAAAAAAATGGCCTTGTTTACAAGGTGCCAAAATCAGAAGTGATGTCATTCCGGTCCTCCAAGGGCAAAGAGATGAGTGCAGACCATCTTTCCTTCACTTACCTCTATGCCCAGCGCCGGGATCGTTCGGTGGTTTCTCAGGTAAGGTTGAGAACCACCAGGCAGAGGCAGGGGCGGCAAGGGTGTGTTATACCTGTATCGGTGCTCATTTTCATAAATCAGCCAAAGGGGTGTTTTTGGCCACCGAAATAAATCCCTAATAAATTTTAAAAATAGTTGTCAGCTATTTTCAGAATTATTTAGTCAACTGATCAGGGTGTAACATGTTACTGTTAGACTGGTCCCCACACCCCCTGATGTGACAGATAGAGGGGAATCTTCTCCCCCAGCTAGCTGTCACAATTTTTAACCACTTGCCCTTCTGAGGATTTACCGCCCCCCCCCCCCCCCCCCCTTCCTGACCAGGCCTTCTTTTGCCATTTGGCGCTCCACTATTTCAACGGATAATTGCAATGCTGTACCTAAGTGAAATTTATGTCCTTTTTTTCACACAAATAGAGATTTCTTTTGGTGGTTTTTAACCATTAGCCGCCCGGCCAATGGCCGTTTGGCGGCTTCAGAAGTGTCTCTCCACTCCGGGTGCACGCCATTTGGCGTGCTCCTGCACATGCGCCACTTGCGCTAATGCAGAGCGGCGCAGCAGTGCGATCTGTCACGGGCCGTGCACCTCAGACACAGCCGATGACAGATCCGAGTACCGGCTCCGTTGCTGGTACCATGTGACCTGCTGTGACCAATCACAGGAGGTCACATGACAGTTGTATACACGACAGTTGTATATCATTCATGATGCCATCCATTGTATACTAGTGCCTAGCTGTGAATGGTCACAGCTAATCACATGCACATGTCATGTGATTAGCTGTGACCAAATCACAGCTAAGCACAAAAAAAAAAAAAAAAAAAAAAAGCTGAATGAATCGATTTCATTCAGGTAAATGCTTGCTTATAGCAAAGTAATTTTTTGCTATAAGCAAATTGTGTAAAAAAAAAAAAAAAAAAAAATACTGATCACTTCCCCAAAGTAGTACAATGTTTGGTCATAGTAACATATGAAAAAAAAAATCTTAAAAAAAATAAAAAAAAATGTAAAAAAAAATTAAATATAATAAAAAATTAAAAAAAAAATATATATATTTTTTTTTTCATACTGTCACCAGTCAGTGTCCCTGTTCACCGCCATGCCAGTTATATGATGACGCTGTACTGCACTGGTGACAGTATGTAAAAAAGAAAATGGTGAAAATAAATTTTTTAATTTTTTCATTTTCCGAAAAATTATGACAAAAAAATACAACTTCAAAAAACTCGCCATTCCTCTTATGAAGTACGTCGGACTGTCTACTTTGCAAAAAGGGGTCATTTGGGGATATCTGTACTATTCTGACATTCTTGGACCTCAAGAAATTAGATTGGCTGTCAGTACTTCAGGATTGATCAATATTCTGATCTATACCATAGTTTGTGAACTCTATAACTTTCCTACAAACTAAAAAATACATCCTAATTTGGGTTATTTTTACCAAAGACATGTAGCAGAATACATCTCGCCTAAATTTATGAAGAACAATTATTTATTTGTAAACTTTTATAACAGAAACAAAGAAAATGTGTTTTTTTTTTCAAAATTTTTGGTCTTTTTTTGTTAATTTAGCAAAAAATAAAAACACCAGCGGTGATTAAATACCACCAAAAGAAAGCTCTAGTTGTGTGAAGAAAATGATAAAATTTTAGTTTGGGTACAGTGTTGTATGACCGCGCAATTGTCATTCAAAGTGTGAGAGCGCTGAAACCTGAAAAATGGCCTGGGCAGGAAGGTGTAAAATTGCACAGTATTGAAACGGTTAAACACCTGTGCACTTTGTTTTTTATGCTATAAACAAAAAAAAAAGGACCGAAAATTTTGAAAAAAAAAAAAGTTATTTTTTTATTTTCGGCTATAAAAAAATATATAGAAAACTCAAAGTTAGTCATAAATGTAGGCCAAAATGTATTCTGTTACATGTTTCTGGTAAAAAAAAATCCCAATAAGTGTATATTGATTGCTTTGTGTGTAAGTTATAGTGTCTGCAAACTATGGTATAGATAATGGAATTTATGCAATTTTTTGCTATACAGCGCTGCGCTAGTTTAACTGACAATTGCGCAGTCATGCAATGCTGTACATAAAATGAAATTTATGTACGCCTTTTATTTTTCGCACTATAAACAAAAAAAGACCGAAAATATTGAAAAAAAAAAAAAAAAAAAAAACAAACTATATTTTCTCATTTCTGTCACAAAAAATATCAAAGTTAGTCATACATTTAGGCCAAAATGTATCCTGCTACATGTTTTTGGTAAAAGAAAAATCCCAGTAAGTGTATATTGATTGCTTTGTGTGAAAGCTATAGCGTCTACAAACTATGGTATAGATAATGGAATTTACACAGCTTTTACTTTGACTGCCCATCACATCTCTTGAGGTGCTAAAATACCAGGATAGTACAAACACCCCCAAATTACCCCTTTTCAGAAAGTAGACACCCTAAGCTATCTGCTTTTTTTTTTTTTTTTTTTTTTTAAACACAAAGTTGTCACTTAAATGATATATTGCTCACATAAGCCATGGGTATATGGGGAATTACACCGCAAAATACATTCTGCTATTTCTACCAAATATGGAGATACCACGTGTGTGAGACTTTTTGGGAGCCTAGCCACATACAGGAGCCTGAAATCCAATGACCACTTTGAAAGCCTGAAGGTGCGCAACTCCTCATTTCACTTCCTCACTACCTATCACAGTTTCAGAGGCCCTGAAATGCCAGGATAGCACCAACCCCCCCCCCCCCCAAATGACCCCTTTTTGGAAAGTAGACACGCCAAGGAATTTAAAAAGAGGCATGGTGAGTATTTCGCAGATCTCATTTTTTCTCAAAAGGTTTTGAAATATGAAAAAAGAAAAGAAAAAAAAATGTTTTTGTTTTCTTTCTTCATTTTCCAAAAACTTTTGGCAACAAAAGACATCTGCAAATTAAGCACCATGGTTCTTATCAAATTCTTTGGGTTATCTACTTTCCAAAAAGGGGTCATTTGTGGCTATCCTGGCATTTCAGGGCCCCCGAAACTGATAAGAATTCAGGAAGTGTAATGAAAAAATAAAGCTCTTTAAAAGCCTTAAGGTGCTTATTGGATTTTGAGGTCCTGTACTTGGCTAGACTGCCAAAACGTCTCTAACATGTGGTACCCTCATACTCGGGAGAAGTAGCAGAATGTATTTTGGGGAGTAATTCCACATATACCCATGGCTTGTGTGAGCAATAAAACATTTAAGTGACAATTTTGTATAAAATAAATAAATGTATTTTTTTTGTCGTCATTTTCCAAAAACTTGTGGTAGAAAAATAAAAATTCTTCTGACTAAACATGCCTCTCAGCAAATAGTTTGGGGTGTCTACTTTCCAAAATGGGGTCATTTTAACGGTGGGGGCGTTTTATGCCCAGCATTAGAAGTTTATGCCACACATCACTCACTCTTCTAACCACTTGAAGACCAAGCCTTTTCTGACACTTTTTGTTCACATGAAAAAAAAAAAAAATCAGTATTTTTTGCTAGTAAATTACTTAGAACCCCCAAAAATGATATATTGTTTTAAAGCAGACACCCTAGTGAAGAAAATGGTGGGTGCTACAATTTTTTATGTCACAAAGTACTCGTGCAGTGATTTTTCAAACGCAAACTTAACAATTATTTGGTAAAATATAAAAGATGATGGTATGTCAAGTAAATTGATACCAAACATGACATGCGTTAAAACTGCACATGTCCCGTGCAATGGCGACAAACTGCATACATGTTTAATATCCATAGACAATGCTTTTTTTTAAGTTATTTTGATTTTTTTTAATTATTTTTACACTGTCCCTTTAATTTTTTTTATCACTTTTAATGCCATCACAGGGAATGCATATACCCCCTATAACTTCAATAGGCATATATTGTCATATATTCTTTTTTTGAGAAATCTGGGGTCTATCTCCTCTGCCCTTACATTATCTAATCTCACCAAGATCGGTGTGATCTGATGCTTTCCCAATTTACAAATGCGCAAGGTGGGGGCGGGAGAGGAGCAGTGTATACAGCGAGGGTCCCTCACTGGCTGCCACTATACGTCAGTGCCAGTTTTTAAATGTGATTACCGGCTTTTTTTTTTTTTCCCCCCCCCCCTATAGCTGTCACTTTCCCCCCCAGCTAAAAGAAACAATGTTTCCTTTTAGTTTCTTTCCTGAAATAAAAGAAACAAAGTTTTCTTTAGCTCCAGGGAAAGTGACAGCTAATTCTGTGAGCTAGAGTGAAAAAAAAAAAAAAAAGCCCATCAGCACTGACATAGTGGACAGCCAGCGAGGGAGCCTCTCTTTATACACTGCTCCTCTCCTGCCCCCTCCTTGCACACACTGCCTCCCACCTGTCACTCATATGCTATCACATGGGGGACTATTGTGATAGCAGTAAAATCATAAGTTTAGAAATAAATATATATATATATATATATATATATATATATATATATTATATATACACATATACTCAAAACACACACAAATACACACACACGACAGTAGAAAAAAAAAAAAAAAAAAAAAAAAAAAAAATTGGAGCCTCCCCACACATATAATTCAAAACTTATATGTATAGCCTGTTGCCCTTTCACAGGTCTTATACATCTTGATCCCATATCTGGCACGCTTGCTGGGGAGAAATTGTTTGAATGCAAGATGGCCAGAAAAAATTAATGAGGGACTCATCAACGCAGATGTTTTGCTGGGGAGTATAGACATCTGCAAATTTTTGTTTAAGGTGATTTACAAGGGGCCGAATTTTGTGGAGCCAGTCAAATTCAGAGTCACCCCGAGGATGATAGAGTGTGTTGTCATTGAAATGCATAAAACGCATTATACTTTCATATCTATGCCTAGCCATGGCAGCAGAGAACACGGGCATATGAAGAATCGGGTCTGTGGACCAATACAACTGCAATTAGTTTTTTTTTTAGTAATGCCCATGTTGAGGGTTAGGCCCAAAAAAAAACGTTAAATTCGGAAAACCGTAATGGGTTTCCATACGAATGGTCTGGCAAGGTTTGAATTTGGGTTGGCGGCGATAAACGGTTGTGCATATGAATTGCTTTGATCCACAAATCAATGCATACAGATCTTCCGTGAAAAACAGCTCCAAAAAAAATCAAAGGGGAGTAGTTAAATTTTCTGTTTCCACCTGAATTCCGGGTTGGGCAGTGAATGGGAGAAGTGCGGGTGCTGCAGAACTTGTGGGCTGCCAATCGGGACTTGCAAGCACATTCAGGATACTAGGGGCTCTACGGGCCTGTGTGCGATTTCTTGGTGGCTGCGGCACAATACTTGTGCTCACCACCGCACCAGCTTGTACTGCACTTATGGGACTTGCCACGTCACCAAGTGATACTGCAGAGTTGGTAAGTGAAAGACCAGGATACACTAGGCCGCTGGTGCTCACCAGTTCACCAAAAGGTAGAGCGACACTAGTACTGGCACTCTGCCGCATATGAGAGTCATCATGCGATTGTATAATCTCAGCAACCTGGGAACGGGGTCGGGTACACCTGACCTTAGCAGGGACCTCTTCCCCATCGTCTGAGCTATCTGTCAAGGTGCTGCTGCTGTCTAGAGGTTCGTATTCTGAGGCTGATTGTGTCAGTGAGTCTTCCCCTTCGCTCTCACCTGACATGCTCAGAATCCTGTAGGCCTCTTCACTAGAGTACTTTTCCATCGACATTTTGGCCACTAAATTTATAGGTACCTAGTGCGACCCACGGGAAAAAAAAGAGCATCTGGCTGTCAGGGACTGCTTGAACCGCTACAAAAAAGTTTTACCGGAAAGTGCTAAACAGAGATCAGGTCTGATTCTGCAAACACTATGGTTTTGTGTGCAATGTATCAAGTGACAGTGATCTACTGACACTGCACTTGCTGGGGGAGAAGGGGGGTGGGGTAAGTGTAGGGGCTATGTGCAAGTGCCGGGGGATGATCCCGCTAATCCTGCGTTTTTGGGGGCACTATACTAATGTTAAAGCTGGTATAGTGCTGATCTGATCAAAAGGTATATCCTACTTCTGGGTAGCGCACGCGTGTTCACCGTTTCACAGTAGAAATTAACCCCTTATTGTAGTGATCATCTGCTGTTTTTGTACTATAAAGAGCTATTTTTTGTGGTTATTTCAACCCCATCATGATGCTGCCACTAAATGTCTTATGCTGGCCATCCATGTATCAATTTTCGGATGAGAATATTCATTCAAAAATTCTTTGTACATTTGATGAATGAATGTCATTCAAAAATTTCACTTGATTTAGGCATTCAATTTTAAAATTAAAGTAGTTTCTGGTTGAAAACCACATACACTGTCTGAAACTTGGTTCAATCGAGAACAGTTTTCTAAAACTGCAAAGGTTTTCTAAAAATTCTGCAAAACAGTAGTTTAGGTTTCGGCTTCGAGTCTAATGATATGTACCAGATTCAACTTCTTATAGTATATATACATCTCGTCTGTCTGTTATTCTGAGAGTGGACTAGATATTTTGCTCCCCAATCATATAGCTGGTTATTTATATTTACCACTGCTATAGATATTCAAGAATTATATATATTTTTTTTTTTTAACTTTACATATTTACTAAATTATATACCAAACTTTTGAGGTTTTTTATCTGAATAATCAATGAATCGAAACAATAATCGGCCAACTAATCGTTTATAAAAATATTAGTTAGTTGCAGTCCTGGTTCTACTTGGACTGCAACGAACGAATAATTTTATAATTGATTAGTTGGGACTTGTCTTTATGAACAACAGCACTATCACTCACCTTGAGGCAGTAACATTGCAGAAGGAGCCTTCAGTGAATTGTTGGTCTGTTCTAGAGAAAGTACTCCCAGTGAGGTCTGTTACAGAGTTTTCAATATGTAGGGTTATGTTCAAGGCCCAGAACAGGATACATGGGATGTTCTGTGTTTGATTGAAAGACACGGGTGGGTATTTTGGAGTAGTCGTGGCCAGTAGCTGACGTCTCAGATTGGCCACCCCTAAGTCAGTCTCTGTGCTCACCTAAAGACAAAAAAGTGCATTGCAAAGTTTACTCAAAAAAATTGGATAGAGATCAAAGTGCTCAGATAAAAAGGAAAACAATTAGGAAAGTTGGCACAATGAGCGCAACCTGTTTATGTCACCTTTGTTCCCTCACAGAGCACTATGGAGTCACTCAATGTGTCCATGCAAATAACTACTAGTAGCATAAAAACATCACCTTCTTCACTGCCTTGTGGGAAAATCTGGTCAGTTAATTATGGCATTCGGCGGGGGGGGGGGGGGGGGGGGGGGGGGGGGGGGGAAAGCACACCAGTTCTTACAGAACTTGGATGCAAAACGGTGCTTTGCGAGGATGCCCTGTGGGGCCGATAGGTGCATAGAGTGAACATCAGTGTGCTCAACAGGGAATGGAAATTGAAACAAAAATTTATATATTTATATATATATATATATATATATATATATATATATATATATATATATATATATATATATATATATCTCTATCTATCTATCTATCTATCTCAAACAGGGGATGGACAAAAGTATGAAAACACTACATGATTTGTAGGTGCGAAAGTGACAATGTGTTTTTCTGTTGAAAGCAGAAGTGGTGTAACATGCTTTTCTTCCACTGTGTGATGAGACACCTAGCTCACAGATGAAAAGCCTTACTTTTGCCATTCACTGCATGCGCTGCTAGAAGTACGGACTCATGTCAGGAAATCAGGTCTCAAAGAGGGCAAATTGTTGGTGCCCATTTAGCTGGTGCCTCTGTGACTGAAGTTGCCAAATTATTTGCTGTATCACGAGGTACATTATGACAACATATTTCTGGGAAAACGTTGTCAAATAAGCATGGGTGCGGTTGACATGGTCCGCTGATCGAAAGGCAAAAAAGGACATTACGCAAGATTGTGACCTGGAATAAGAAAACAACTGCTGCAAAAGTAACTGTGGAGCTCAATCTCAGTCTTCTCTGGGTTTTTATTTTTTTATTATATAAATAAAAAAAGACCGAAATTTTTTTTACTTTCGGCTACAACAAAATATCCAATAAAAAGTATTAAAAAAAAATAAATAAAATTTCTTCATAAATTTAGGCCAAAAGGTATTCTTCTACATATTTTTTGGTAAAAAAAAACCCAGTAAGTGTATACTGATTGGTTTGTGCAAATGTTATAGCGACAAAACTATGGTATATATACAATATAAATCAGAAGATGCAGCGCTGAACAGGAAATACTAAAGTAAATAAATAAATAAATAAGCAGTTCATATGATGATATCAAGGTGACTTCAAGTGCTCTCATCTATTCCTATCCTCCTGGTAACAAGGTGCTGTGCGATATAGTGCAGAAGGAATGCACACTCACCAGAACGCACAGTTTAATGAGCGTTTGTAAATATATATTTCCCTTGAGGTCATCAGCTGGTCAAAGTAGGGTCTGGAATCCAATGGCCTCCCTTCAGTGTTCCTGGATGTTATTGCTAGGACATCAGGATGATCCCTCGGATGTTGGCCTATGGACTGCTCCTTAAGTGGTTAAAACGCTCCTTCCCCAGCAGTGAGATGAATGGCTGTGAATTGATACTCCTGGTTTATATTTTTCAGGATCTGGAAAATATTTTGGGTCCCGGTGAACCCAAAAAGGAGACACAAATCAACAGGTCCCCAGGAGGAATCTCATAATTATAGACTTGCAATGGTTTTTTTTTCCACTTTCCTAGTAATAGCTCCTGGGGACCTTAGTCGTATGGCCTCGAGGACACAGGATTTCACATATGGGACTCTCTTCAGATCAGCTTCAGCAATACGCAAATGATGCTGACATAGATGCCAACTTTCTGGAGTTTCTGGGGCAGTCCTGCAACATGGACCTCAGTCTTGATGATGCTGTGACCGAGGCAATGTCCAGGGATCACAGTGTTACCTTTATGTGAGTTACTGTACATACACACCAACTCTAGGTATTCATTATTAGTTTTACCATAATGAATACCTAGAGTTGGTGTGTATGTACAGTAACTCACATAAAGGTAACACTGTGATCCCTGGACATTGCCTCGGTCACAGCATCATCAAGACTGAGGTCCATGTTGCAGGACTGCCCCAGAAACTCCAGAACAGTTGGCATCTATGTCAGCATCATTTGCGTATTGCTGAAGCTGATCTGAAGAGAGTCCCATATGTGAAATCCTGTGTCCTCGAGGCCATACGACTAAGGTCCCCAGGAGCTATTACTAGGAAAGTGGAAAAACCATTGCAGGTCTATAATTATGAGATTCCTCCTGGGGACCTGTTGATTGTGTCTCCTTTTTGGGTTCACCGGGACCCAAAATATTTTCCAGATCCTGAAAAATATAAACCAGGAGTATCAATTCACAGCCATTCATCTCACTGCTGGGGAAGGAGCATTTTAACCACTTAAGGAGCAGTCCATAGGCCAACATCCGAGGGATCATCCTGATGTCCTAGCAATAACATCCAGGAACACTGAAGGGAGGCCATTGGATTCCAGACCCTACTTTGACCAGCTGATGACCTCAAGGGAAATATATATTTACAAACGCTCATTAAACTGTGCGTTCTGGTGAGTGTGCATTCCTTCTGCACTATATCGCACAGCACCTTGTTACCAGGAGGATAGGAATAGATGAGAGCACTTGAAGTCACCTTGATATCATCATATGAACTGCTTATTTATTTATTTACTTTAGTATTTCCTGTTCAGCGCTGCATCTTCTGATTTATATTGTTTTACAAGGTTTATGGTTACCTGGTGCACATCTGCTACATTGCATTTGTAGGTGCGCTCGTATACATTTTCTTCACTATGGTATATATACACAGGATTTTTTTTTCTATACTAGCAATGACTGATCGGCGACTTATAGCAGGATGGCGGGCAATTTGACACTTACTGACACTTTTCAGGAACCAGTGACGCTAATACAGTGATCAGTGTTAATAATATACACTGAGACTGTACTATTGACACTGGCTGGGAAGGGGTTAACATCTAGGGGCAATCAAAGGGTTAACTGTGTGCCCAACAGTGTTTGGTGTATTTACTGTGTGCTGATTTTACTAAGGAATGTGCCGATTTTGCAGGAAAACTAAAACTGGCTCATCCCTACTATCAGGACAGAGCTATAGGTTGTTTACAATCACAGAGCTCTATCCTGTCATCCTCTTTGCCGATGAGCAGGTCCCGGCGATCAATCATTGGGTGGGATCCACTGATCGGCTTGCGCTATGACTAATCACAGCACAGCCAGGACGGCAGGCGTGCATGCCCCTAACCAGAAGAGCTAGATTATTAGATTTAAATAACAGGGCTCTGGAGCGAGCCTGCACAAGTGCACCCATAGGAAGCCACTTCCTATGTGGGCAATGCACAGAGAGCAGGAGTCAGGAGTTTTGGCGGGTGACCCAAGAAGAGGAGGTTTGAAATTCCACTACACAGAACAGGTAAGTATGAATCAGTTATTTAACAAAAAAAAAAAATAAAAAGAACCAAGAAACAATTTCCTACATAGATTGTTAAGTAACAGGCCACTTGATGACTCAAAAGCAGGTAGCATTGTTGTGCAGGGTAGGATAATCAAGTGGTATAGGATTGTGGACTGTGACAGGGTGGGGTGGAGGTGGGGTTCAACCAAGAACCAATTTTCCTACATAGATTGTTAAGAACAGCCACTTGAGACTCAAAGCAGTAGCATTGTTGTGCAGGGAAGGAAATCAATGTATGGCATGTGGACTGAGACAGGGAGGGGTGGAGGTGGGTGGTCAAAAGATAAGTTCACCTTTTGGACAAAAATAATAAATGCACATTTTTTTGCAGGTAAAAAAAAAAAAAAAAAATGTGCATTTATTATTTTTGTCTAAAAGGAGTCTAGAAAGCATTGCACCAGTGATCAGTACATCGCCGATGTCATGCAGGTCTCCTGTAGATCTGTCAGAATATCTGCTTACTGTACGGGATGTATGGCCAAGCAGATATTCTGACAGGAAGCTTCTATGAACTAGCACAGCTCCACAGCACCATGGTAGTTCATTGAAAAATACAAGCCCACAGCCGCTAAGGCTTTCGGGACTTGCAATTCATTCATGGAAGTCCGCGAATGTATGACATGGACATGTGGGCGGAGCTCTGCACAGCCAAGCTGTTCTTAAATCTGACAGATAGTAGGAGGAAACTCCTACACGTACTGTCAGTGGGAAGGGAGCAGCGAGCATGGCTGAAGCTATGGGAACAGGTTACATGTTCCACCCTAAAAAACAGGTGGAACATGTAACATGTGCCAAAGGTGACCTTATGCTTTACCCCATGTTCACACCTAAGCGTTTTCTGCAGCGTTTTGCAGAAAACCAGTACAGTCCATTTAACATGATTTCCTATGGGACATGTTCACAGCTGTGCGTTTCACCCGATGCAATTTTTGGAAAGGGTCAGGGACTTTTTTGAATGCAAAAGGTTGCATTTTTGGTTCTATAGACTTCAATGGAAACACTGCAGAAAAGCAAGAATTGTGCTTTTGCCGTGTTTTTGATGGGTTTTGCATTTTAAATCTGCCAAGCAAGAAAGAAAAAAAAAAAACAACACGGCAAAAACGCCAAATGCAATGCAGAAACAGCTCAAACGCAACCTGCATAGGTGTGAACCTAGCCTTAAGCAGGCAAGACTGACAACACTGTTTGATATTTCAGTGCAGCAAAGCCACTGTGTTATCAACCCAAACAGGAAGCTAGGAGAGCACATTTCTGGTAGATTAACTGGTAATTTTTTTTCTCTACACCTTTATTGCTTAACCACTTGCCCTACTGAGGATTTACTTCCCTTCCTGACCAGGCCATTTTTTGTGTTAAGGCACTGCGTTACTTTAACTGACAATTGTTTGGTCGTGCAACGCTCCACCCAAATTAAATTTACGTCCTTTTTTCTCCCACAAATTGAGCTTTCTTTTGGTGGTATTTGATCGCCTGTGCGGGTTTTTATTTTTTGCGCTATACAAAAAAAAAATAAAATTGAGAAAAAAACACACCCATATATTTGACTTTTTGCTATTAAAACACGTCCACTAAAAAAATAAAAAATCAAATTTAGTCATAAATTATGTGAAAATGTATTCTGCAACATGTCTTGTTCTTGCGACATGTACCTGGTTTTGATAGGTACCTGCTGCCTCCCTCCCGCAGTCTCCTGGGAACTTTCACAGATCCCAGAAGACTGCTGGACCAATTATGAAGCGCAGTGCGACTTGTGCATGCGCAGTGGGCACTAGGCTGTGAAGCTGCAAGTTATCACAGCCTGGTGCCCACAGTTGAGATGCCGGCACGTGGAGGAAAGAAGAGGAGAAGGGACCGTGTGGGTGAGAACATCACTGGACCCTGGGACAGGCAAGTGTTTATTAAAAGTTAGCAGCTACAGTTTTTGTAGCTGTTGACTTTTGACAAACACAAAAAGGGCTGGAACTCCGCTTTAAGGCAAATCAGCCCCTGTGGGCACAATAAAAAAACTGCAGAATTCATACTTTAGCTGTTAAATTAGTAAACATTTTTCCAACTTTATACTGAATACACACGAAACACCTCAAAATGTTTCTTTCCAGTGTGTTGTGAAATCTTTGTGATTTTGTTTTTGTTTGGTTTACGATTTGTGGTATAACTTACCCTAGATGGCCTGAGAGCCGTGAGAATAGCAGTATAAGGCACACCCTCCGACTTTAGTGTACTCAGGACTTGTCCAATGACTTCATCTGCAATAGCAAGAGAGGAAGCGATCAATGACCGAGATTGCAGTCTGCACAGGCACTGTTCAGTTCAGTATTCAGATATTAGGAAGCAAACTGCATCACCATGTAGGTTTCTAGTTTATGTGCAAATTTATTCACATAAAATGATAAAGTGGTATTAAACCCAAAACCAAAAATGTAATATATTGCAGGTTACCAATTCTTAGATGTGGTTGCCGCATTAGGTTTGGTTTTTTTTCTCCCCTCTGTTTTCATCTGTGATTTGGCCAGTAACACACCACTTGTATTCAGGGACGGACTGACAACTCATGGGTCCCCCGGGCAAAAGGGGATCATGGGGCCCTGTGTCTTTGCCCAAACTCAAAAAAGCCTATGAAAAAAGGTACCAGGGGCATCTCATGGGGCCCCCTACTGACCCCGGGCCCTCGGGCAATGCCCGAGTTTCAAAATGGTCAGTCCGCCCCTGCATGTATTAGAGTGCCCCCACTCTGGAGGAGTGTGCACAGGTGGCACTTTTATAAGCAGTTACAGCAACAGTTTTGTTTGGGATAAAGGTTTTGCATAAAAGCTGATCATTGTAAGCAGTTCTGTTAGTGGTTTGTCTCATCCCTATACCTGAAAATTATCTGAAAGAGAGCTTGATCTTTTGAAAAACAGACTTACTGGCTGGCTCATCAGGTGAAAATGGAAGAAGAAAAACCTAAGAAGAAAACTAATACAGCCATCACACCTAAGAATTGGTAAGCTGCAATATAATAAATGTTTGCTTTTGGGTTATTTCTGCTTTATGCACTAGCTCTGCATTCCTTTGTACTTTGTGTAAAAGATGCTGCAAGCTGTAGATTTTTACATTGCTCCCATGCTGTTCTAAACCATTTTCAAACCTTTTCAAAGTACAGATTTAAAAACAAAAACTATTGATTAAAAAAGATGAAGGTGTTAAAAAAGAAGAGTACATCCTGTACTTTCTAGGCTAGTTTTTTGGTCACTGTCCTCAGCCACAAAAATGTTTTTGAGACACAATAAAAGACATTTGCAAGCATTCAGCATTTGGAAGGCTGTGAAAATACCAAGATTTTTTTCAGACTGAACTCCTGGCAAACAGCTATTTTACCCTGAACTATATTATATAGCTAAAGGATAAGTTTGCCTTTTACAAAAATAAACTGTAAATTTTTTTGCAGGTATAAGAAAATAAAAAAAATGTGCATTTACTATTTTTTTGGAGGAGCTTTGAAAGTATTGCACCTGCAGTCAGCAGATCATGGGTGCAATGCAGGGCTCCTTCAGACTTTCAGTGTAAGCTGTCTGCTCGTACATTGTATGGGCAGGCAGTTACACAATGGCAGAAATAATCAATTAACTACTAGAGAGCTCAAAAGTGCCCTGGTAGTTCATCAAGATCTACAAGCTGACAGCAGTAAACGTTGTTGGTACTTGTAGTTCATTCATTCACAGAACTTAGAATGAATGACATAGCTGTGTGAGCAGAGTCTCGCACGGCTACACTCTCTTCAAATAGCGACACAGCAGGTACGGGGAGAAGGTCCTTGGCTTATTGTCACAGGGAATGCGGGGATTGGGGACCAGCTGCAGGAGCAGGAACATGTTGGAAGATGTAACGGTAAAACATTAAACATTAGTGCCGATTTAAAATCCAGCAATACACTGTCTCAACCCGCTCTGCATATTCCCCAGTTGCATCTTCTTGTTTGGAACTGTGCTAAAAAATGTAGGAGGTCAATCTACTGACAGCCTAAAGATTTAATGCTGCTCAGAGGCTCTGGGCTTTAGCAAAGTGGCAGTCATCAGCAAGAAGAAAACAGGAAGAAAGCTGGAGACAATTTACAGCACACACTAAATTTTGGTAGCATAATAATTAATGTAGAATGTATTTTCCTTGCTAAAGAACATTATTTTTTATCACGTTGTCATGGGTAAAGTTCCACTTTAATATTAGCCTAGTACTGTGCAATGCAGCAGAGCAAGAACTGATCTGTACTGTGCTGCCCCTCCCCCCTAGAGGGTGGCGGTGCAGTTGATTATAGAAAACCAAAGTCAGGAAAGATCAGGTATATTTGCCAGCTGCAAGTAAACATGCATTTAATAATTTTTAAGTGGTATGTCTGTCGGGAGCTCAGCATCAACCAATTTTTGACAATTTCAAACCCTTACAGCTGCTGAGCAGTGGCAAAGGAATACATTCAGCTTGGGTCTTCGCCACCACGCAGTGTTCAACACAATGTTTAAAATTGGCACGAAGGCAGACTCCAGTATATTGAGAATTGATATTGCTGTCCCTGAGGGATTGCTCCAGTAGGAACATTTGCTGTGGTGAGCAATAGGAATGTCAGAATATGCAGTGTAAGTGCTAGATGTTTATCTTTGTCTGGCATCTATGTGTACAGTCACGTAGGTGTCAAACAGCAAAAAAACTGCAGACATGAGACTGGCTGAAGAGATCATTGCTAGAAAAGGAAAGACCACTCACAAGTCTTTCCACTGTGTATCTCCATCTCATGTTCTACCAACATCTAAAAGTATCACTTCCCAACAGGAATACCAGAATGGTGTGCTTTACATGCAGGCTTACCATTGGCTCGGAGGACATCTTTGGCTGCCAATACTCCAGTACTAGAGAAAAAGGAAAAACAGAATACACATTGAATACATATTTAAAAACAGATTTTCCAGAGTACCTTTTAGCTGGTTTGTGGTCGTTTAAACCCCGCACGCTGCCATCTAATCATGTCATAATCAGGATTTACAAAGTGGAATAGATGAACTGTAATTCCTGTAGACTTACCTACTGGCATAGGGTAACCTCACAACAAGCAGCGATGGGATGCTCTCATTCAGTCTCAGCTCTAGTAGGGTGGACTGATCCACGTGAAGTGGGCTGACACCCAGTTTCTCCTTAAGGTAGGTAAGAAGGATGTTGGCAGCATACCAGTCTACTGAAGGAAGCACCAGGGAAGAGGGCGAGGATTCCATAATGCTCTGTAATTTGGAGTATACATGGAATTATTATTATTATACAGGATTTATATAGCGCCAACAGTTTGCTCATCGCTTTACAATATAACGGGAGACAATACAGCAACAATACAGTTCAATACAAGAGGGTTTGGAGGGCCCTGCTCCTCGGAGGAATTAAAGAAAATTCCCCACCAGTCCCAAAACCAGACAGTCAGCCTTCATTCCACAGCTGGAGCAGATCATGGTAGCTGCAGAGACCTTTAGTTTTAAAAGCAACAACTAGATTTCCCATGCTTTATGGCAAACTTGTCATGAGAGAAATATGCAGGATCCCCTTTCTGAAAAAATGCTAGTTGTCAGGTTATTCTGGCCCTGGTGACTCAAGCATGCAGTCAGTGAATCAGAACCCCTCATATGTTTACCTGTTTTGAGTCGAAGACTCCGAATCACAGACACCATTTGACAAGCGTGACAGCCAGGAGACTAGCAATTCCAGAAGACATTGTTAGCAAAGTAAAGTCTATGTATTTCATACTTCCCCCATCAAACACATTGTCACTCTAGGGAGACTGCATATGTAGAATTTCATGTCAGTCCTCCCTGCACTTCACACGCTCTCGCATTTAAGTAATGCAAACAGACGTGGACTAATTAAGGGATTTTGCACATCCTCATTCCCAGTTTGATCGAAGGTATATTAAAAAAAAAAACACAGGCACAGCAGCTACCTAGCCTCAGCTGTTTTTTGCATTAGAGTTTTGAACCCTTTGTTTAAAGAGAGGTGAACGCGCAGTGGCTGCGCAAGCAGGATTAAGGTCAGCCATAGGTGGATCGAAATTCAGCCGGTTCAGCAGGGACTGGACAAATTTCGATCCGTGTATGGTTAGGCTGGTTATGATCTATCGATCGACTTGTGTGCAACAAGCCTGTTGGGAAATTTTCTCTTGATCAGCGCTGGCTATAACTGATGAGTGTATTCTGATGGCAGAAAAGTCTACCTGCTGTCAGAATACAATACTCCAGCAAGAAGTATTCCCCCATCGACAGAGTCATCGACATGGAGGAAAAGAAATGTAATCTCCAAACACGAAAAGGTTTCTTCACAGTGAGAGCTGTGAAAATGTGGAATAGACTCCCTCAAGAGTTGGTTCTGGCCAGCTCAGCGGATTGCTTTAAAAAAGGCCTGGATTATTTCCTACACAGAATACAACTGGATACTAGGTAAAGTTGATCAAAGGAATATCAGATTGCCTCTTGGGGGATCAGGAAGGAATTTATTTCCCTGCAGGAGCAAATTGGATTGTGCTTTTCTGGGATTTTTGCCTTCTTCTGGATCAACTGTGGGTATAGGATAATTGTTTTTTTTATGGTTGAACTGGATGGACTTTTGTCTTTTTTCAGCCAGACTATGTGTCATTTTCATCATTCATTCAACCCGCTGGTTGAATGTAAAAAAAACAAACAAAAAAACAAAAAACTGACTGGACTGACTACAGTGACTGACTTGACTGACTACAGCCAGCCTAAATCAATGCTATAACATAGATATGCCATATATATCATATGCGAAGGTTAATAAAAATAAAATAAAAACCTTCTACAGACTGATCTTGATGGCTGTAACATTTACATTAAATTATAACTAGAAGGCAAAACATTTTTTTTTCCATTTTGGATAGAGTAAGGGAAGGTTATAAACCCATCGCCTTTTTTTTTTTTGCCATCTGTGTCCCATTGTGGAGATCCGTCTTCACTTCCTGTCTAAAAGCCAAAACATGAAGCGAGAGGAAATCTGTTCAAATTAAAGGGAATTCTTTGGAGACCCCCAGGTCACCAGAACTAGTATCCTCATTGGAAGATATCGCTGCTATTACTTTTCTGGGGACAACCCAAAATTTGGGATTTCCTTTTACTTTCAATGATAACAGTAAACAGGACAAATAGAGAGGGTGAATCTCCCTAATTGGGACACAGGTGGCAATAAAACCCTGACAGGGGTCTCTTTAGTTATACTTTAACTTTCACATGCCTGCAGCAGCCTCTGATTAGGCCCCATTAGGCCTGAATTCCAGGTTTAACCTACTTGCAAAGGTCTGGCACTTCGTGTTAGTGCTAAATCTTGCCTGTCTCTTCCAACCATTCTTACAGGCCAGTGACCCGGCCTTCAATGTGAAGGGCCAATAGGAATATGTATAACGTGGACATGGCAAGCTTTGCCTACCCAGAAGTGCTCCAAATTTGGCAATAACAGAAATGTTTTGGAGGCTGCTGCAGGTATTTGCAGGTATTTGCAGGCATCCCTATCTATCTGCACTTTACACCAGCATGTGTCAAAACCATCATTCACTGCTTTAGAAATATGACCTGCAACAGCACAAACATATACAGGTAGTTTGCACTTACTTCTAGATTGGGAAAAGCATTGTCCTGCTTGTTGCCATAGACTCCTCCAAAAGCTGTAAAGTCTTCAATGCTTAACTAAAAAATAAAAGATTTATGTGACAGTCGTACAGAGGAGAAAAGACAGCAGATAACACTCAAACATAGCTGCGAAGTGTTAGGGCTGGGACCTGCCATCTACAGGTCTTAAACAGCTGACCTATGGTAACAATCCTTACAAATGCACTGTAGACAGATAGAATCCTACGTAGAAAGGATGTTCTTACTTTTTGGTTCTAAAAGACAAGTAAACTAATAGCAGAACTGCATGTTTCCTCATTATCAAGGCCTGATCTATCTGTGGTTGTTACATAATCTTTAAAAAAGGTAAAGAGTGGGAACTGAATCCCATGTTGACCGCTTTCCCGCCGCCCTATAGCAGAAATACAGCTACAGGGCGGCAGAGGTTCGCAAAATCATATATGTATGATTTTGCATTTCCAGGTAGGGGGCGCATGCGTGCCCTACCCGCATCGCCATTGGCGGCCTCACCTATTGATCACCAGGTCCCGGCCAGTGATTCCCCGCCGGCACCTGGCGATCACCGTGCATCACCAATGGGGGAGAGATCTGTATGTAAAAAAAAAAAACAAATACAGATCTCTCCCCTGTCAGCTCCTGCACACTGCTTTTGTATGGCTCTGCATTTAAAATTTTAAATTTTCATTTTACATTTTTTTCACTGGACTTGTTTAATAGCAAAAAGTCAAAAATATAGTTTTTCTCAAAATGTCTTTTTTTTTTTTTTTTTTTTTTTTTTAATAGCGCAAAAAAAAAAACACAAACAAAAAAAAACGCACAGGCGATCAAATACCATCGAAAGAAAACTATTTGTGAGGAAAAAAAAAAGGACATAAATTTCATTTGGGTGCAGCGTTTCTTGACCATGCAATTGTCAGTTAAAGTAACGCAGCGCCGTATCGCACAAAATGGCCTGTTCAGGAAGGGGGGTAAATCCTCTGGAGGGCAAGTGGTTAAAAACTACAGTATCTCACAGAAGTGAGCCCACCCCTCACATTTTTGTAAATATTTTATTCTATCTTTTCATGTGACAACACTGAAGAAATGACACTTTGCTACAATGTGACGTAGTGAGTGTACAGTTTGTATAACAGTGTAAATTTGCTGCCCCCTCAAAATAACTCAACACAGCCATTAATGTCTAAACCGCTGGCAACAAAAGGGAGTCCACCCCTAAGTGAAAATGTCCAAATTGGGCCCAAAGTGTCAATATTTTGTGTGGCCACCATTATTTTCCAGCACTGCCTTAACCCTCATGGGCATGGAGTTCACCAGAGCTTCACAGGTTGCCACTGGAGTCCTCTTCCACTCCTCCATGATGATATCACGTAGCTGGTGGATGTTAGAGACCTTGCGCTCCTCCACCTTCCATTTCAGGGTCTTGTCAATCTTCTTACAGCCTAGGCCATCTTTATGTAGAGCAACAATTCTTTTTTTCAGATCCTCAGAGAGTTCTTTGCCATGAGGTGCCATATTGAACTTCCAGTGACCAGTATGAGAGAGTGAGAGTGACAACACCAAATTTAACACACCTGCTCCCCATTCACACCTGAGACCTTGTAACCCTAACGAGTCACATGACATCGGGGAGAGAAAATAGCTAATTGGGCCCAATTGGGACATTTTTCACTTAGGGGTGTACTCACTTTTGTTGCCAGCGGTTTAGACATTAATCCCTGTTAAGTTATTTTGAGGGGACAAAAAATTTACACTGCTACAATGCAAAGTAGTCAGTGTACAGCTTGCATAACAAAGTGTCATTTCTTCAGTGTTGTCACATGAAAAGATAGAATAAAATATTTACAAAAATGTGAGGGGTGGGCTCACTTCTGTGAGATGCTGTACATACAGAAGAATCTGACAAAGGACTGGATAACCTCAGGTGTGCTCAAAATGCATATGGGGACTTCCATAGGTCAGTAAGGCCCATTGGTTGTGCACAACAGGTGGGGTGTAGAGTCAGAACAGGATCTGGTTTAATGTCATTGCACTTTCACCACCTAATCTTCCTCCAAACATGTTGCCCTTTGTGCATGGAACCTCGCCAGAGACTCCTACTTGCCCAAAATAACGGTTAGTAAAGCAGAAGACCTTGTGTAATAGCATACATATATTACCTTATCTTGGAGGAAAAGCAGGACATTCCGGGGTCCACTATTCAGTGCAGAGTCCAAGTACTGACCCAGTTGGCGATCAGATGTCACATGACCTCCGTGCGTGTTGGGCTCGTCGTTCCACAGGGAACTGTCAGATAATTGAGCAAACAAGTATAATAAACAGTTTTCATAAAGCACCAGACTAAAAATGCTGTACGAAAGACTCCACAATAATTTTATTCAACAAAAATGAGACTTTTCTAGCAAATTGAAATTTAGAAAATCTGCTATTTACCCAATTCCTGATTCAATTCACCTCTCTCTACAAGGAAGAGGCAACCTCTAACAGTCTCTAGTAATATGGAATCAGCCTCCAACAGCCCACTTTCAGGAAGAGGCAAGTCCTCGAAACGTGTCAGTCTATTGGATGTCTACACTCCCTATTGCGGACTGTTACTCAGTGTGGTGTTGACCCAGCTGTTCTTTTATGATGTGCCTTGACTTTGTTGTTTGTGAGTACAACACCTACTTTATTTCTTATTAAACATTTTTTATGGTAATGCACTAGGCCTGTGCGCCCTCTGTTTGTTCTTTCCTCATTCAGTATATTTGGATTTCCCCGGTCTATTGAGGGCAGCAAGGTGTGCATGTTCCAGGACATTCTCAATGTGGTTGTAACCTGCAATGAGTCCTACCCAAGCACAGGAGCATTTGTGTTTGCTGGTTCTAACAGCCCACTGTTACCTGAAAGCAGTTTAAAGCTAGCCATAAATACACTATGTCGATTTCTTTTGTTCAGCCTGCAGGCAGAACAAGAGAAAATTACTGGATTCCATCATCCATGCTAAATAGCATGAATGGACGAATCTGCAGTGCCAGCTGCTGTATTGACGCAACTGCAGTACTCACAGTTGCCTGAACAAGAACCTAGACTTTATCCAATAGAATGAAATCTCTGTATGACCCTCAATTTTTCATTCCATTCAACTTTCGTACAGCTGGGTGGTGCCAACAAAGCTACCCACAGTTTGAATTTCAGCCAATTCGGAAGGAATTTGAACTGTGTATGGCGAATTACAGTCTCTTATATCCAAGCAACAGCCTTTAGTATGACTGATGATACAGTAAAGCCTAGTTACAGCAGGTTTTCAGCAAGCATGCACGTTGAGGTGGGCACTGATTCTGTCTCTTGCAGTTTTTTTGATTACCAGAAGGATTTTTTTTTTTTTTTTTTTTTAATTCCAATGGGGTCTTTACATTGAACTACCACACCGCAACCGCCATAGCCATGTCTGCGGTCCAGTCCAATTGACTTCAAGGGAAAAGTTGGTGTGGCCTGTCAAACTCGACAAGCCAAATTAAAAGTGCACTGTTGCGGCATGCAGCATTGCAACAATGTAAACAGTCCATGTGGCATTGTATGTGGGCAGTTGGGAGGGGGAATGGTGAAAACATGACTCACCTATTTTTACCACCCCCTCCTCTGGCTATCTGTGTGAACAAGTTTAATAAAAAGGTGCCTACATGCTTCTCTATCATACCAGAGTAAATGGGGATTTCTTTTTTCTACAGTGTACAGACTGCAAAGCTAGTGTGCCATATGGTAATGGCACATGATCCACTCATTTTCCAGGAACTGCAGTAGTTCAAAAAGCTACATCACAAGACTATTACAAAGGATATGTTGTATCCAGCACTGCACAATGGAAAACATTTACAGAATGGCTGGAATGGTGATTTCTGGGCAAATAATTACTATGTAACGATACAATGCACACAATGTTTCTGTCTGACTTTGGTGGATCTACTCATAAAAACTGGAGACACATTGGATAAAATATATTACCATTACCGAATCAGTGGCCTTTTACATTTTTTGATTGGATTATAGTGGAAGACAAGGCCAATATTAAACTAAAAGCGCTGAGCAAACTGTTGGAGCTATATAAATACTGTATAATAATTCGTAAAAATATTCCCTGCTTCCTCCTCATACCAATTCTGCATTTAATTAAAAAAAAAAAAAAAGGGATCTGTGTACATATGTATTTTTGATCTGCTCTGGTCAGGTCCAGCTCCCCTGTGTCAATGAACAACTGCTATAGGGGAGAGGAGGGAGTTCAGACATTTGCTGGGCCATAAGAGCCTATAGGAGATGCCATAACTCTGGGAATTCACATTTCAAATGCTGATTACTCCCTTAGGCAAGGTTCACACCTATGCAATTTGCGTTGATCTGTTTCTGCAGTGCTTTTTGCGGTTTTTTTTGCACATGCGTTTTTTCCCCCCAACTTGTTGCTGGGCAGATTAAAAACCCATAATAAAAAAGTCCCTGACCCTTTCCAAAAAAGCACCAGGTGAAAAAACAGAAATGTGAACCTGTCCCAAAGGAAATCATGTTAAATGGACTGCTGTGTGTTTCTGCAAAATGCAATGAAAAACGATAGGTGTGAACCTAGACTTACACAGGGGAGATGGAACTGCAGGATCGTGTGAGCGTACTGATGCAGATTAAAAATAAGTAAACAGGTCATTTTATACAGGGTATGCAGGATAGGTAGGCGGAGGAAACATTTTTAAGAATAGTTACCCCCCCCCCCCCCCTTTTTTTTCTTCCTTGCTTCTTCAAGATTCAGTTAGCTAATGACCCTATGAGACACCTCCCCCCCCCCCCCCCCCACGGCAGGGAGTGAGTGGGAGTCCACCAAGCCATACAGACCATAACATATGTCCTGATAAACGTTATTTTCTTGTTGAATGTAACAAGGTCGTTTTTTTAAGCATCCTTAAGTCCCACATGGGATCTAATTTTGTAATTTGCTCAAATAACTGATAATTACTTTAGATTGTTGTTTAATTTGCAACCTATTTGTAACCATTATGACTGGCCATAGCTAGCCAAGAACTGGATGCTATACTTGTTTGAACCTTTGTAAAATCTTCGACTAAACCAATAAAATTTATTGGAAAAGGTTAGTTAGCATTAATCTTGAATACCACTTTAAATCACCCACGGTAGGGTTCCCTGTTTCTATCATGGAGAATACAGAAGGGGAAGGAGGACCCCTCCTTTTAGATGACTTATAGAAGGAGGAATAAAAGGGAACTCTAGCAGAGAGATCTCAATGCTGGCACCCCAAAATATAGAGAAAACAACAAGACACTTCAATCCCCCAGAATCCTCCCAAAACCAGAGAATTAGTATTGCTTGGACTTAAAGCAGACCTAAAGTCTCAATACTTACCCATCCAACGGTCCTCCACCAATATCTTCATGCTACTCAACTGCTACTAAAGTGTATGTAAACCCTATCAATGAACTTCATTTATTTCCTTCCATCTGGCCTGCTAAATATACCAGTGCAAGTGTTTTGTTAGGTCTGTTTGATAAGTGCCTGACTGCTATCAGTTAGCATTTCACCCAGATCTCTCTGAACTACAGAACATCACCTCCCCAATGATGTGGAGATGAGAAGGTGGGGGTGGGGCATATAATTCTTCTCCTCCTTTAATACAGTGCAGTAAGATGTGTTACCACCTAAGGGCAAGAAGTGTGTTACTGGAAGAATCAGCAGGTGAAAATAAAGAGAAAAAAAACAAACAATGCAGCCAGCCCATGCAAGGACTGGTAAGCTGCAATATTTGACATTTTATATGACCCATGTTCTTGTGTTTAGATGCACTTTAAAATTTGCTGATCTATCACGTGATCAAATTCAGCCTCTACATAGCTGATCATTTCCTACCCCTTTTTTCTGCTAGCACAGTTTTTCTCAACCTTTTTTCAGTCAAAGCACCCTTTTAAAATTATGGACAGTCCTGCGGCACCCCATTCTAAAATATGAAAAATTGTTCTAACAGTTTTATATAACGCAGCAACATTCACACATGTAGAACACCCGACATCAGAGGCGATTTTAGTCTTCCAAAGCAAATACACTTTTGCACACTGGTACTGACTAGTATTCCATTGTTTCTCTTCCCCCTCAGTTTTTCTCCATCACTGAGCTAATGTGACCCCCAGCACTGATGGAGAGGGGCAGGGGAGGGTCAAACTAGAATGCTGTGCAGGCAGCTGACATCCTCCTTATCATCTGATGATGTCATTGGTTGTCAGGACTACGGCAGCTAGAAGGTTGTAATAGTGTACAATGACAACCTGTGGCTTTGTGTAACTAAAAGGCAGGCTTGTTCCACCCATTGGCTTGTATACAAGTCTTAACCAATTTTTAGGCATTTTGCCAAGGCACCTCTGAAGAAACCTCAAGGCACCCCTGAAGAAACCTCAAGGCACCCTGGTCGAGAAAGGCTGCCCTAGTACACAATCTCACTTCAGAGCTGCTGCAAAACAAGACCACTCAACACTTTACCTCACTGGCCTGCCTCACCACAGGTTATCCCCACTACAGTTGATCCTGAATATACGGCGGCCAGACTCATCCACCTTACCAACCGCTCCGTTTCCGCCACCCCCCCTCCGATTGCCTAATGGATCAAATTCAAAATGCTAACACTGATGTATAAAGCTGTCCATAACTCTGCCCCAAACTACATCACCGACCTAATATCCAAATACCACCCAAAACGCTCTCTCTGCTCCTCACAAGACCTCCTTCTCTCTAGTTCCCTGGTCTCCTCCTCCCATGCCCGCCTCCAGGAATTCTCCAGGACATCACCCATCCTCTGAAACTCCCTACCCCAATCCATCAGACTATCACCTACTCTCCTCTCCTTTAGGCGCACCCTGAAAACCCACCTCTTCAGGGAAGCCTACCCCACCCTCTGCTAATTGCCGATTTCCTCCACTCTTCCTACCACTCCATCCCCCACAGCTTTTCCTCCCGTACTACTATCCCCTCCCTCCTAGATTCTAAGCTCCAAGGAGCAGGGCCCTCGAACCCCTCGTGTATCGCATTGTATTGTTATTGTGCTGTCTCATGTATTGTCTCACATTGTAATGTACAGCGCTGAGCGAACTGTTGGCGCTTTATAAATACTGTATAATAATAATACCAATTTGGTTTAGACAAAAAAAAAAAAAGAAAGCAGACATATTGATAACTTTTGTATATTTTCTCCTGTTTTACACATACAAAAAAAAAAAGAAAAACAATAGCTGCAAATATGAGACTTTACTAGATTTTGTCCAAATGCAACCTAATCCCCATGACTTTACTGCCCTTTGAGAGCAGCCTAGTCTTGTATGTAGTACATACTGTATGTGCATAACAACGTTTCCAGGCTTGTAGCTGCCCAATTTCTGCCCATTGGCCTCTGTGTTATTAATCAGGTTGGGGGTCATATTAGACCTTTCCTGTCATTGCACTCAGAACATGTACTGATTCCAGGAACAGATAGCAGGAAGTTATAGATGGAAACAGGAACTTGTGACTTGTCCATTCTCCCGCAGTCTACAATGCTGGATTGCATCACAGACTAAAGTAACATTGGGCAAACAGCTCCAGCTGTGGAGGATGTAAAAAAATGTTACATTTGACTTAGGCTGGCCATACACTATACAATTTTCTGTCCAATTTTCTTTAGATTTACCTTCAACTATGTAGTGCAAGGGCCTGCCTAATTGGATACAATTGAAAGTGTTGTTAGGTTTGACCTCATATGGTTTTTGGTAAATCTAAACCATAAACCTCAAGAAAATTGGATAATGTATGGCCAGCCTAAATGGGCAGGGAGTGCTTCGCTGAGAGACTGAGCCAGGTGCTGCACCAGACTCTGGGGTGGATCCTGACCTTGAAGTCGGGATCTTTCCCCAGCCTAGACTACATCAGCAGACTTCAGTGAGCAGTACACATGAAAGGTGATTTGTTCATTCTGCAGGGATCACACAATCCCTGACCAGATCTATGGGTCATGTGACTCTCTGCCAATCAGATAAATCCTGATACTCCTCAGATTAAAAAGAAACGAAAATCCCTAAATGTACCCAGTAATAAATCAGTTCACAGAGGTAATTATTATACAGGATTTATATAGCACCAACAGTTTGCTCAGCACTTTACAATAATGGGAGACAATACAATTCAATACAAGAGGGTTAGGAGGGCCCTGATCCTGGGAGCTAACAATCTAAGTTAATGCCACCAGCCAGTGTAATACTTCTGGATGACATCACAAGGTGAATAATGACATCATCTGCAGGAATGAGCTGACCTGACCCCATCATCTGGTCTAATGAGAGGACATGGCACACAGATGACGTGTATAAGACACGAGATGAGGGAGGACATGTCCTCACACAAGGCAGATCACCCCCATTCATTATCATACACAGACCTCCCTCCCAATGTCACCCCGGCCTGGGAGCTCTCACCTCTCGCTGGACCACAACAGGACGGGCACTTGCTGGGAAGACGTCACCCGCCATGGCAGCCCCACCAGCAGCAGAACAGAAAGCTGCAATACAACCTGACCCGCCGCCATCTTCCTGCCTCTAAGGCTCACAGCTCTGTCATGTGACTCGCGGCGATCAGGTGGCATTGTCTACGCCCATTGGAAACCGACACTATCAATCACAAGCAGCCGGGGAGCGGCGCAGAGGCGTGATTGGCTGTAGAAATGTGTGCCTAGCCTCTTCCTGCTGTACAATAGGCATGCGCCGTGCAAAGGTTTTCGCTCTGTGCAAATGGACATTTTGGAATGATGAGTGAAAAATGGACTGTATACAGTTGTCACTCCCGATATCATCTCTATCTGCGAACATTTAGAACCCTACTGGTTGTCATAGAGTGAAGAACAGCTGAAAATGCCTTCATTCATCTCCTTGGATCCTTCTTTATGTTGCTTAGCCATGCCAAAACGTCACATGACTCAACCTGCTGCTATGGACAGCACTCCACACATAACTGCCTTTATTTTGGATACATCGGTAAAAGAGGCTGATTTATGAACCAATATCATGCTGTTCACTGCAAAAATCAGAACATCTTTACCAACCAAAAGGATGCTTAACCAAATGTTACCACAATTTACCCCCCTTCCTGACCAGGCCATTTTTTGCGATACGGCGCTGCGTTATTTTAACTGACAATTGTGCAATCATGCAACGCTGCACCCAAATTAAATTTATGTCCTTTCTTATGGTGGTATTTGATCCCCTCTGCGTTTTTTATATTTTGTGCTATAAACAAAAAAAAGAGCGACCATTTTGGAAAAAAAAAAAAACAGTATTTTTTGACTTTTTCCCATTAATGATGTCCAGTAAAAAATAAAAATGTCATCATAAATTTAAGCCAAAATGTATTCTGCTACATGTCTGCTAAAAGCAAATCCCAATACATGTACATTAATTGGTTTATATGAAAGTTATAGCATCTACAAATGGCGGTATATATACACAGATTTTTGTTTTTCATTTTTACTAGTAATGGCAGCAACCAGCGACTTATAGCGGGACTGCAGCAGGCATTCTGACACTGGGAGGGAACTGACTGTTACTGACATCCCCAGTGACACCAATAGTGATCAGTGCTAATAAAAAGCACTGACACTGTACTAATGACACTGGGCAGGAAAGGGTTAACATATGGGGCGATCAAAGGGGTTAACTGTGTGCTGTGTTACTGTGTGTGATATACTGTGTAAGCATGCTGCTTTGTATTGCAAAAATGCATGCTGCTTTGCAGAGCAAAACAAAGCAGCATGCTGGAGCTTACAGGGGAGAGATTTGTATGGTTTACATGCAGACTTCTCCAGTCAGTGTTCTTTGGCGATCGCTGGGTGCCGTCAGGGAATCTGTCCGAGACACAGTGATTGACTGCCGTAGCAGCCAATGGCCCCCTACCCAGTATTGTATTTAGGCTTCGTGCTGCCCTAGGCAACAAAAAAATTGGCTCCCCCCCCCCCACAGAGAGACCCTGACAGACACCCCCTCCCCCATGATAAGAGCCTGACATTGACCAACAACACCCCATCCCAGCCCCGCCCCCCCCCACGAGACAACCTTCCCCTACCACTGCCCCATAATCACTGCCAACCCCCCCCCCCCCCCCACCCCGGCGAATGAAGACACTCACCTTCACAGCTCCGGACATCCCCGGGAACAAGAGTCAGAGTCTGCAAACACCATCAAGCAGCCTCTCTCGGATCCCATGTGTCCCTTCTTCCATCCCTTCTTTCGGGGGGCGATGCTGCCCCCCTGAAAAAAATGCCAACCTAGGCAAATGCCTTGTGGTGAATACGCCCCTGCCCCTACCCGGAAATGCAAAATCACACATATATACATGATTTTGCACAGCCCTGCCACCTGTAGCAGTATGTGCGCTATAGGGTGTCGGGAAGCGGTCTAAAGAAGTATTACCCAGTACTGTAACTAGACCTTTCAGGGCCTCAGTGCAAGAAACCCCTGCACTGACCAGGGCCCTTCCATCAGAGGATAGAGGAACAATTCTATGTTCCTCCTGAAGCCACTGAATGCTGGCTTCTCCTCCTTCCTCCCGCATTCAGCGGCTGCAGTAGAAACTTGGAGAGATCGGTTCCTCTCTATGAAGCCACCCCCACAGCTCCTCCTACAGGAATATATTGCAGCTTATGAACCATTAGATGTGGTGGCTGCCTTAGTTCTTTTTTTTAGGCTCCCCCCCTCTGTTTTCACCTGGTTATCTGGCCAATAGCACACCTCGTATTAGAGTGTCCCCACTCTGGATGAAGGAGCACAGGGGGTCCATTTAGACAGCAGCATTACCATTTTTTTTTTGGGGGGGGGGGGTTGTTAGATGTACTAGCAGATTTAGATACACTAAGACATTGAAGCCAAACTCCAGCTAACATTTTATAAGCAGTTACAGCAAACATTTTTTTCCCCTTTTGGGATAAAGCCAGTTTTACATGAATACATAAAATTGATCATTGTAATCACCTCCATCAGGGTTAAATAGTTTGTCTCAACCCTAACTGCTACATCTGCAGGAAAGCTTGTTCTGTTCAAAACAGGCTTACTGGCAGGATCACCATCGTGAGAAAAAAAGGAAACAAAGAAATAAAAAACCTAATGCAGGCATCACATCTAAGAATTGGTAAGCTGCGATACAATAAATGTTTGCTTTTGCTTTTTATATCACTTTAATGAGCCTCAGTGACAACAGAAGGCTCCATCTTCCAAACTGTAACCAGATCAGATCTGACACTGCTTAAAACTGAAAAATAGTATCACACTTACCTTTTAATCCTTTTTTCATGGCGCCTATCCATGGCAGCATACACATAGTATGTTAATACACATATGCATTTGTATAGTGCACCACATGTAGATGTGAATACTCTATGCATTGCAGTGTGCTGCATTGTTAAAAATGGTGTGTTTTTTTTTTCCCCATTCAAAAAGAATAAACCACTTTAATGCAACAAGTCTGTGTGAATGCACACAAACATGTCAACAGGTCCTAAAGGCCCAGCCCTGCATTTAGAGCATCCTGCCAACAGAAAGCCCTCCACATTACATGTTAGGTATGACAAGCTGCAGGGAATTGACATTAATTTGCACAACATACATATGCACCTGGAATACAGCCCATCACAATGCATAAATGTGAATACCGGTGCATTGCAGTGTAAAAAAAAAAAAAAAAAAAAAAAAAATATTTTTTTGTGCTTTTTTCATGGTGCATTGGTACCTATTCAAAATGAAAGTTTCTTTAATGCACTGTGCAGCAAGGAAGGCCCCAAAATGTTAACACACACACTAAATCCACTGCACTGACATTGGAGCATTTTGTCAACAAAATTTCATAAGCAAATGGAATGAAAATTTGATCATCTTTATTGGAAAGAGCTGCAGAAAATCAGCAGTATAAAACAGTCCTTCAGCCATTTTGCTAAAAGCAAAAACAAACAAAAAACACAGTCAATAAAATAGTTAATCTCTGATCCAAATGTCTGACCTATTTTGTTACAATAAATAGAAAAATATATAAAAAACAGAGACATACAGAGATGGAAAGGCAGGTACAACGTGCAACTGGTAATTTTTGACACTTCATTCTAAAAGCTGGATCTGGAATGGTTCTACTTCGAAGCCAGCCTCTGTTAAGGGAACTATAAGGCACAGCATGTCCCTTTCAGCTGTCAGTTCTTCCACATCTGCTGACTTCAAGTGTGATCATACTTGATCATGATTAAAATTCATTTGTCAGGTGAGTAAAACACCCAAAACTGATGACCCGATTTTCAAAATGGGCTGGATTTCAATTTTAACTGGGTACAGCTAGCAAAAGATCTCTTTCCACTGGCATGTCAATGACAGCCTGAGACTGAGCTACTGTTGTCAGTACAAATACAGTATATTCAGCTGTGTATCATGCTCCATTTAGTGCATCTTTCATTGGATTACATGGATAAGAAAAAAGAATGGCGACACAATTATCTTGGCTTTGCCTGGGGTGGGGGCAGATCTTCATGCTGGGGTCTAGAGTGACAGTTAGACTTAGTAAAGTAAAAACCAGTCCTATTTACCGCAAATAGAGAAATCTATTTTTGGGTGTAATGGCTTCCTAAAAATGAATATAAATTTGAGGAAATGAAAAGGTCCTATATATGTTGAGTTGCCTACGAAAGACCAAACATTTTACACCTCTGCTCCGCTTTATTAAAAATAGGCCATTTTAAAGTCCCAATGGTTATCAGGGACCGTACTGCCTGACAATCAGCCAGTGAAACATCCTGGCCCAGTGGATAATATAGTAGAAGGTGGGTAACCATTCAAGGCTGGGCAGCCTGCAATTTTGCCTTCTGTGAGCCCCAGGTACTTGACTTGGGATATTATTGAACACTCGCCCTGCTAGTAATGAGTGCAGAAAGCAAATGTGTAGCATGCTCAGCATTTGACATTTGTCTGCCTACCTTCAATGTCATTAAGAGTGGACAGGTGGTCACTGGTTTATCAGCAAACCAAAGGCCCTTTGACAGCCAACCTGAGTTTATATTGGCTAATGTGCATCAGCAAGTGGAGCTCCCTATGGAGGCAAGGTAAGGGGTGTAACACAATTTGGGGGTCACATTAAATCATAAAATCAGCCTTCTCTCCTTTGCAGTGATACCTTGTAAAATGTACGCAGATAAGTCTGCATTAAAAAAATAATATGGCTAGGACAGAGCTGGAAATTTCTACAAATATTTTAGAAACCCATTTCCTCACTGTGTGGTTATTGGTGCCTGGGTCAGTACAAAGACTCTACACATTCACACATGCAAGACATAAAATCATTCTCCTTCACTGTCATTTAGCAGCAAGTCTGGCGCATGCGCCACAGTAATTACAAGTTTTAAATATTCCAAAATAAAATGAGATCCGTATCTCCAAAATGGTCCATTGCCAGGAGGTCTGGGTGGGTAAGCATTCAGGTAGGAAGGCATCTGGTGATTGGACAAAAACCAGCATTGGTGGCTGTACACCGGGGTCACTTGGGGTGGTGTCATCTTTGCTCACG